ACCTGGATGTGATACCTGCAAGTTGTCTCTGATCACCATGAGCTCAGTGGCAGGAAATAAAGAGAGGGGTTCTGTCACCTCCAGGAGCAGAAAATATGGGGTAAGTCAACGAGGATTGTAATCACAGGTAGGGGAATGAGGAGTGCTAGGCAGGCTGTACATACCGATCACCTATATAGATCAGTTTAAGGTGAGCTGTCTGCTGATTGCCATGGCTGGGGAGATCCTCATCATATATCATCAATATTATTATCATTATCATATATCATCAATATTATTATTATTATTATTATCATCGTCATCATCATCATATATTATTATTATTATCATCATATATCATCAGTATTATTATTATTATCATCGTCATCTTCATCATATATTATTATTATTATCATCATCATCATATATCATCAGTATTATTATTATCATCATAATTATAATTATTCAGGATTTATATAGAGACAACAGCTTGATCTGAACTCTATGCGTATGTACACAGAGAGGGGAATTGCTGAAAACTGAAGCAGACTGGAGCTGTTGCTCATAGCAACAAATCAGCTTCTCTCTTGCATTTGCTCATTTAAGCGTTAAAAATAAAAAAATAGAAGCGGATTGGCTGCTCTAGATTTTGTCTGCTCCAGTTTTGATCAATTCTCCTCATTGTCCTTCACATCACTTTGACATCCATCCTGTCAGTGTGACTACGGATGTCTACGATGCTGAATTTTATGGCTTTTGTGTGTGCTGAGTGTGAAGCACCATTGACTTGCTGCGCTGACTTGCTTGAAAGGATGTGTATGTGCATCGATTGTGTTTTTGTGTTCATGTCAAAACAAAGCTGTAAAGGAAAACAGCAATGTGCGTGTGAGGACTGCGATCTGGATCGTCATCTTTGTTCAAAATACATCTGAATGTTTGTAACATCCCATATGTTCACCAGAAGGTCCGTACGATTCATCCTTTACCCTGGTCTAGTGACACTCACTTTGCTGCTCCATTGCTATTGAGATCTACATAAGCTGTCATAGGCAGACATGTGTGACATGTGATGGATAACAGGAGACACGTCTATGACCGGGATGTGGCAGATAAAAATGACTGACGGTGTATGGATCAAGCACTGGAGATAACTCTGTCTATACTACGCAGAGAAGGAAAGTGGAAATATGAATGATATGTAGAGGTCATACTCAGCACAACACTATGGGGGGGATTCATCAAAACTGGAGCTGTCAGGATCTGGAGCAGTTACCTATGGCAATCAATCAGCTTCTCTCTTCAGTTAGGATCTGAAAATGAAAGAGGGAAGCTGATTGGTTACTATAGGCAACTGTTCCAGATTCTGTATGCTCCAGTTTTGATAAATTCCCCTGTATATAGTGTTTACTTCACTCTCCTGGTATTTGATTCATCCTTTATTTACTTTTTCTGATGGATGGGGGCGATTCAGTAAAGCATTTGCAACACTTTTTTTGGTGTTATTGCCTCCAAAGCCACTCAAGATTTTCCTTGCTGCTTCCGACGTGTGCGCCAAATTCAAGAAGTCCCTGTGTGCGACACCTTTACATGCAGCTGCTATGGCTGCAAGAGATTTATGAAGAAATACCACCATATCAGTGATCATTAAAGTGTAGAGGATAAAAATCTCTGCTATGTTGGAGTAAATTGTTGCGCTATAGCTGCGTCAGATTCATGAAGAAATACCACCATATCGGTGATCATGAAAGTGTCGGGGTTAAATACATCTGCTATGTTGGAGTAAATAGGGGCGCTATAGCTGCGTCAGATTCATGAAGAAATACCGCCATATCGGTGACCATGAAAGTGGCGGGGATAAATACATCTGCTATGTTGGAGTAAAAAGTGGCGCTACAGCTGCGACAGATTCATGAAGAAATACGCCATATCGGTGATTATGAAAGTGTCGGGGATAAAGACCTCTTCTATGTTGGAGTAAATAGTGGCGCTATATCTGCGACAGATTCATGGAGAAATACTGTCATATTGGTGATGATGAAAGTGTCGGGGATAAAGACCTCTTCTATGTTGGAGTAAATAGTGGCGCTATATCTGTGTCAGATTCATGAAGAAATACCACCATATGGGTGATGATGAAAGTGTAGGGGATAAAGACCTCATCTATGTTGAAGTAAATAGGGGCGCTATAGCTGCGTCAGATTCATGAAGAAATACCACCATATCGGTGATCATGAAAGTGTAGGGGATAAAGACACCTTCTATGTTGGAGTAAATGGTGGCGCTATAGCTGCGTCAGATTCATGAAGTAATACCGCCATATCGGTGATGATGAAAGTGTAGGGGATAAAGACCTCTTCTATGTTGGAGTAAATAGTGGCGCTATAGCTGCGACAGATTCATGAACAAATACCACCATATCAGTGATCATGAAAGTGTAGGGGATAAAGACCTCTTCTATGTTGAAGTAAATGGTGGCGCTATAGCTGCGACAGATTCATGAAGAAATACCGCCATATCGGTGATGATGAAAGTGTAGGGATAAAGACCTCTTCTATGTTGGAGTAAATTGTGGCGCTATAGCTGCGTCAGATTCATGAAGAAATACCGCCATATCGGTGATCATAAAAGTGTAGGGATAAAGACCTCTTCTATGTTGGAGTAAATAGTGGCGCTATAGCTGCGTCAAATTCATGAACAAATACCACCATATCGGTGATCATGAAAGTGTAGGGATAAAGACCTCTTCTATGTTGGAGTAAATAGTGGCGCTATAGCTGCATCAGATTCATGAAGAAATACCGCCATATCGGTGATCATAAAAGTGTAGGGATAAAGACCTCTTCTATGTTGGAGTAAATAGGGGTGCTATAGGTGCGACAGATTCATGAAGAAATACCGCCATATCGGTGATCATGAAAGTGTAGGGATAAAGACCTCTTCTATGTTGGAGTAAATAGTGGCGCTATAGCTGCGTCATATTCCTGAAGAAATACCGCCATATCGGTGATCATGAAAGTGTAGGGATAAAGACCTCTTCTATGTTGGAGTAAATGGTGGCGCTATAGCTGCGACAGATTCCTAAAGAAATACCGCCATATCGGTGATCATGAAAGTGTAGGGATAAAGACCTCTTCTATGTTGGAGTAAATGGTGGCGCTATAGCTGCGACAGATTCCTAAAGAAATACCGCCATATCGGTGATCATGAAAGTGTAGGGATAAAGACCTCTTCTATGTTTGAGTAAATTGTGCCGCATGTGTAGGACAAATTCTGCAATAGATTCATATATGCTTCTCCAAAACAAATCTGTCGCAAGTTGTTACCCAGACAGCAGACAGATTTCTAATGAGTGTCTGTGACATTCTTTACGAATTCCAGTGACTGTGTTTTGGAGGAACTTCCCTGGAATTTTGAACTTGGCTATTCAGTCCCTGATCGATCCATGTTCTCCCTAGAGCCTCCTGGGCATACTTCCATCTGATATCCGTCTAGTAAGAAACCACTAGGAAATCCACGCTTCCTATCTCCAGGAAAGACAAAGAGCTATTTATTATATGGAAATGACTTCTCTGTAGTCAGCTCTTTTCCTTACCTATCATTCGTTTTGTATCCAAACAAAGACTGCACCAAGTCATAACTGCACCATCTGACGATTTGGGGGACGCCTACCCAAAATTCCTACATGGGGAATAGGAGACACAGCTTTGACGGACAGTCTGGATATCTCTGGCAGCAGACTCCATCCTATAACGTGACGAATCGAGAGCCAGCCGGGTACAGATTCCCCAGTGCCATCCTATCAAAGTAACACAGCAGCAGGCATGGCATAGCAGGCTCCCTCTCCTGCTATAGGGAATTCAGCTACAATTCATGGAGCCACATTACCACACTTTAATATCGGAGGAAAATGATCTGCATTGAGGAGGAGCTCGGGTTTTTTTTTTTTCTTGCAGGATCTCAGCTCGAGATGAATTGGTACATGCACTGAAAGCTAAATGAGTTAGCTTAGAAAGTCATTAGGCGATCGTGTAATGTCTCGTGTAGTCTGAACATGGGGTCTTCACAAAACATAGCACATCGCTTTGCTGCAGAATTAGCTATAGATGGCTTTTTAAAGGGATCCTTAATCCATGATCTGTACATACAAACCACAGGAACAGTGTCGGGAGCATGTAAGATTTATGTTGGCTGTTCACGCCTGTAGAGAAGGAGGGCTGGGAGCGACACTGCAGTGTACTGTACTTGGCTTGTATTGTCTTTTATTCGTATTCCTATAAAAGACGTAATGCTAGTATAAAGCGGCGGTGATCACAAGGCGTCTCGTTCATCACAGTCCACCCAATAATAAATGAAATCAACAGTGTATTGATACATTTCAGTGACTGCAAGTTTGTGTTTAAACCTAGTTTTTGTTCCAATGACGAAAGCTCCGAGCTGATTTTGTACAGTAAGCGCATCCGTACATCCACACAAAGCCACATATGGTTTTCCAACGTTTGTCTTTCAATAAACATAATTATATACGGTTATAGGATTATTACAAATATTCTACACAGGCATATAAAATGGAAACAGTAACAGAAAAAACATGGCCATCTATAGGAAAAAAAAACCTAAAACTAACTTTTGTTTGCCATGGTAGCGGTTGCCAAGCAACATTTGCATACTTGATCTGATGTCATTAGAACTACAGTATGTGCCCCCTTGAATTAAATGTAGACCATCTGAATATTTCTTTGACAAGTACATTTATCAGCCGAGTCCTAATATATTACCTGTGATGTGATTTATTGGTGAGGAATAGCTATTCTCTTTGCTTTGCATGACTTAGTAACAGAGCAGATGTAGTGGGCTTTTCTCTATATGCTCTTTGTACAGATTGATACATAAACCGGGGCCGTGTTCAGCAAGAACAGAGCAGGCACGAAGCAGAAGAGGCAGATGCTTATTGGATGTTGAGGGCTTTGGTGACATTTTCCCCTTCCTTTAGTGAGATAGAAGGATGTCAAATGATAAAAGCAGAACTCTGGGTAACATTTTTCATTAACCCTTGCAGTGGGGCTACCCATGCTGTGAAGGGGTTAAGTGCTCTTTTTTGCCTAAGGTCAAAAATAAACAGCC